GGCTCCATCCCCAGTAGGGGGCCTGCAGGAGGCAGCCCATGGATGATTCTCTCTTCCTCTCCCTTCCTCTCTGAAATCAATAAAAACATATTTTTAAAAAATATATATATAGTTTTTCATGATAAATGTGATTACCAGACAACTCAAAATATTCAAAGACTTGAGTGACATGCTACATATAACAAAAACCCTTACAGTTCCATGTATTTATGTGAACAAGTTTTCTCTGTGTTTAAGTTTTTTTTGTTTTTTTAAAAGGAAGGAAAAATAGATGCAAAATTGTTGCTGAATCTTGCCTTATTCTAATAAAAAAAATGATATTCATCCACACACGAACTAATTGAGAGGAAAATACCTCCTTTTAAGAGATACATTTCCAATAAAATGTTAGTTTTTATAAAAATTTTGATATATATTTATATTGCTTTTAACAACTCTGTACTAATAAGCTTAACCCTTAAAGCCTTAGTAATGTTACAAAAATTAATTTAAATTTTTCAATTTTCAGTATATATTTTCAATTTATATATCTTTTGCAATTAGATATGATTATGAATAACAGACTTTAAGGCATGAGACTAATTATATGTAGCATAAACTGAGAAGGAGAAAATTGAATTATGAGAAGAAAAAGGAATGATGTTAAAGAAGTGCTTGTTATAGTGTTTTTAAAATGAATGATGTTGGCTCTCAAATCACTGCTATTTGGATCAAAATGGGTCAATATCAATAAAACATTTTATAAAGTGTCAATATTTACAACACACTGGAAATTGCCTCCTTTACAACTATTTAAACTTATTAATGAAATACTTCAGATGTCAACTTAAAAACGTGTGAGGAGGCAAATACATTTTCAAAATCCTTTTAGGAAGTAATGAGCAAAGAGAACTGAAGGCCAGTGACCGGGCGGTTTGTGGACAACAGTCCATTTCAGTGGACTAGTTAACTGTGCATGTTCTCAAGCCAGACCATTGGGGTTGAAATTACACCCTTCTTTTCCTATACTGTGGAAAAGATTCTTTTTGTTTTAATTGAAGTCTAATTTACACATAGAAGTGCACATATTTTCACAACACACTCATGTAACCAGCGCCTAGATCAGGAAAAAGAACAGTGCCAGCTCCCTGGAAGTCTCCATCGTGCTTGTGTAAGTTTCTTGTTTCTCTCTGGTTTTGATCCCACGTCTCTAAAATGGGGAGAATAACATTGACCCCTTAGGGTTGTTGAGAGGATCAGATAAGCTAATATCCTTAGAGCAGTCAGCACAGTGCCCTGCGCAGGGTGACTTCTGTCAAAGTGTTGGCTGTTGTCATGATTCCCAATGGCTACCAAGCCAATAGCTCTCTGCTCCCCTTCACCCCAGCCTGGCTAAGAGCTCCATGGTTCCAGGGCTCCTGGGTCCAGCACAGCCACCTTCAAGTCCCCAACACACAGCTCCTTGAGAGAAGGGCTTGGAGAAGACAACTGATGTTGGAGTCATGGCACAGTCAAGGACATAATCACCGTTCAGTAAGTTACACACCCAGCCCAAGGTGAAATGTGCAGACTTTATTAGCTGTGATACACTCAACCGCACTGGAGTCCCAATGGCCATCACAAAACCGCCAGGGGCTGAGGCGCTGAGGGCTGGAGCGCTGTGCCCTGATGTGCCCACTACAGAAGACACTTGCATCTCCAGCCGGGACACAGGTTCGCACAGAAGGTCAGACCAACCTTGGGTGCTGGGCTGAAGGGCCGTGGATAGTGCTGAGCCAGGAAGTGATTGCACCCAGCTCAGAGCAAGATTCTCACACAGATCAGTAATTTCTCTTTTTCTCACTGACTCCACTGTCCTGTAAGCAACCTCCATGCCCAAGGCCCTTGCCCACCCTTCACCAGGCTTGCTATCCAAACAGAGGCCTGGAGGAGGCTGGGGAAAATCCTGAGCCTCCTCCCCCCTGCATCTTGGGTCACCTGGGTTAGTAGTTTGTAGCTATTCTAGGAGAAAGGTTTTCAGAGGTCTGTTTTGGTGGCTCTCTGCTTCCCCCAAATCCTTAACTCTCACCTCACCCACCTGCAGTCCCATCATGGTGTCTTTTGTCTTGGGGTTCAGTGGCTCCAATTCCCTGCAAATCCAGGATCTGAACCATGTCTCGGGAACTCCAGCTGCTTGGGGACAGAGCCAAGGTATTCTGGGAGGGAGGGGAAGCGGGGACCACAGACAAGTTCCTGTACCTCCAGGGTATGCAGAGGTGAGGCCAGGGATGACAGGAGCCCCTCAGGCTGTTCCAGTTCAGAGGACAGTGTCAGAGTTTTGTCCGTTGCTGTGGCCAGGTGATGCATCCTGGAGGAGGAGTTTCTGTGCTTCAGTCCACATTGGTCCAAGTCACCACAGCTTGGGGCCTGAGAAGGGCAAAAAAGGGAGGGTGGGGAGGGAATGCAGCTGCCTCCAGGCAAGCCCCTGGGAATCCCCTCACCTGCTCACCTGTGCAGGGGGCAGGCTGCCCTGGGGCAGCCTAGTTCCTGGACTCTGAGTCGCTGAGGCTGCAGGAAACAAGGCCAGGTCACTGGAGGTTGGGGCTCCCAGAATGTAGCCAGTGTGGCCCTGCGGCAGGGGCTGCTGAAGGAGCTGCAGGATGCGGCTGATGTCTGAGGACAGGCGGGATTCCAGCCTACCAAACAGGACAGAACCCCACAGTTAGGGTCAGGGTCAGGGTCAGGGTCAGGGTCAGGGCCAAGGTTAGGGTTNACAGAACCCCACAGTTAGGGTCAGGGTCAGGGTCAGGGTCAGGGTCAGGGTCAGGGCCAAGGTTAGGGTCAGGGCTGGCAAAAGCAGGTCAGGTCCAGAGGACAGCTCCCCATTTTGTAGCTTACAGGCTATTCCAGCTGGTTGGAATGGCAGCCTGAGGCCTACCTGAAGCTATTTCCCTGCTACAGTCACAGCTGCTGCCCAGATTCCCTTAGCGCATCCCTGATTTTGATAATAAGCGACCAGGCGCCGTACACACATCATTCGGTCCCCATCAAGAAGCTTTGATATGGGTATTCTGATTGTCCCCACTTCATGAAAGGGCAAACTGAGGCACAGAGTCATTAAGTAACTTGCCCACACTCTCAATGGTAAGGTGCAGAGACAGAATTTGAACCCAGGACTGTACTGCCCCTAAGCACTAATTCTGCCACCACAGTCCTGTCATCGCAGGCCACACCCCTTTCCCAAGGGCCCATGAAGTTTGTTTCTGCACGAAGTTATGCCCCTTCCTCAAGAGAGCTTCCTTGGCATGTTCTGGGATTTGCTGGGACAAGCCTTCTAAGGAATTGTGCTTAGCGACATCGGGGTGTGGAGGCTGCTGTTAAATGGGGCCTGGCCATTCTGAAACTTACGAGACATCCAGCGATGCTTCTGAGCCACCAGGAGGGGGCACCCGTGCCTAGCCTGCTGTGGTGCTCGCTCTCTGTAGCCACCAGAACCTGGCCTGCGGGGCTCTCACCTGTTCATCTGGGCCTGGAGCTGCTCTAGCCTGGAGCCCAGCTCCGGAGACCAGCAGTCTGGGTCCCCCTGAGGGTCTGGAGGGCTGTGTGCTGGCCTTTGGGGCACTTGCTGCAGCAGCTCAGGCCAGAGGCCAGATGCATCTGAGAGGCCCAGGGAAGGGGCTGCACCTGCAGGAGGGAAAGGAAAGCCTGGGCTTGGTCTGGCTGGTTCCACACCTCTAAGCTTATGCCCCTCCCCCTACCTGCAATGGGAACACAGAGCAGGAGGAGTGGCTCTTCTTACCTGGGTGCCCTGGAGTATGAGATCCTGCCTCCATAGAGGTCTGGTATCCATGTCCCAGAAGGCTGTAG